ACAGCAATTTCCTTCCTCTTGTTTGTGTAGACAGAGTAGAAATTTTGCGATGGACCGCTATGTTCGGCATTTCTTGGAAAGGTTGGTCGGATCCTTCTCTGCCCAGCTCTTGGCATTTTTTCTGTCTCCATTGCCATTCGATTTGTGGAGTTGTCGGGAGAAATATGTCTGGATCCATGCCGGATGGATGTAGAGCTGTTGGCTTCTTGCTGGCAGCTAGCACCGTCATGGTGTCCTCGCCTTTGGCATAGCATCGGAGTGGGCCTAGTTCCACTGTATCTCCTTCTACCAATAGGATGTCCACGCGGAATATTGGAACCCTTCGAAAACCGAAGTCTCCTATGGCCCAGTCGATGGTTTTTTCCCAGGAATCTGTGTTGGTTGGACGAATGTGTACTCCAGACACGCGACCCGTTTTCGAATGTGCTTACCAGGAGACGAAGATCGTTTGCTTTGGACGGTCGGCTAGGACCAAACAGCGGTCTATCTTTTCTGCGAGACAAAGCTACTGCGCTGCTGGTGGTTGTACTACGAATAGACAGTCGCCTGCTGGCGAAACCTGCTCCAACACGTCTTGCAAAACGTTTTCTGCTCTGTTGGTGGACATGTCGATGTCTTGGCAGGCGTACAGGGACACTTCTATGCGAGTGCAACCTCGTTGTTGTACGTCTGGGTGGAGAAAGGTTTTGCGGAGATGCTCGTTTGGACAATCCACATAGTCGGCAAGATGGCCGCCAATCGGTTCTCGGATTTCTCCGGCTTCGAAGTTGCAAACGACTTTGTTGTACAGCTTGGTGCGCATCGTTTTGCCGGACTTTGTTGTCTCTACCCACGTGCAAACATGGTTGCCGACCAAGTGGGTGTTGTCCAGGACGGTGGGTTTTCCGCTTTCGATAGCTTCCACGAGATCGCATTGTTCGACAAATCCATGTTGGCTACAGAGGAATTGCATGAGCTGTTTGCGGTCTAGGACGCCGGAATAGTCTCGGGTGTAGTCGATGCTGTAGATCTCTAGTCCGTTGCCTTGTAGTTTTGTTTCTAGATTGGACAATTTCTCTTGGAGCCTGTCGATCGCGATTTCGGAGACGTCCACTTTGGCCACAAATACTGCGAAAGGGGTTTCCTCGTCGTTTTGGGCTTTCCATGCTCGTAGCGATTTCTGACGAGTTTCGCTTTCGATCTTTTGGATAGTGCTGGCAATAGCTCCTGCACTCGTCTTTTGCACCATCTGGAGAAGTGTCGCATGCATTTTGGTGGCTTCGGTATGCTCTTTGTAGGTGGTGCGTAGTATCCAGTGGAGTAGTCTGACGATTTTTTTATAGTTGTTGTTGTGGGAGTGTATCCTGTGCTTGACAACGGTACTGGAAGTTCGGGAACGAGCAACTAACTTGAAGTTCGAGCAACCTGTGGTGTCGCGTCGAAAAAATAGTTGCTGAAAAAATGGGTAGCTCTAGCGAAAATAAGATTTTTATAAAGCCTTGGATAAGGACCTGGTCCCATTCCACCATTGTGTATACTACTAAAGATTATGTTATTTTAAACAACGTAACATTGACACGTCTTTATATGAAGAACTGTTACGTTTGTTTCATTAAACCCAAGCTGGGGAAGTCATTTGGATCCCAAGGTAGAAGAAAGGTGATAATAGTGTAATTTATGTAATACTCGTTTATTAACAGTCTAGTTCCGTGTTGCCTCCCTGAATAAAACCAAAAGGTCAATTTCATATCCCGTAATATACTTGCCTTCTTATGAGGTATCATGCACATTCATTGGCACAGCTCACGCCTTTTTGTGTGCAAGATTCACAATCCAGTGGGTGAGAATTCTTTTGCGTTCCTGGAGCTCCAATGACATTCATAAAGTATTCGGTGGACATTTTGAGATAGTCGGCCTTGTTAACATTGTCAGCATTCTTAACATCCATGCATAATTGATCTATTCAACGGCTGTTTCGCTTTGAAATACTTGCGGGACGTCTTGCCATACTCAATTGATATTTATCCCTTCGGGCTTTTCTTCAACATTACGGGTCTATGTGGTAGCTTAGTGGTTAAAGCGTTTGCTCGTCACGCCGAAGACCCGGGTTCGATTCCCCACATGGGTACAATGTGTGAAGCCGCTTTCTGGTGTCCCCCGCCGTGATATTGCTGGAATATTGCTAAACCGGCGTAAAGCAATATTCACTAACTCACTCACTCTTCAACATTACGTTAACAGGCTGTCACTCACTCACTCACTCACCCATCCATACCATGACATACCATGTAACATACAATACAATACCCGGAGTACTGTAGGACATACAATGAAATACTCAGGCTACTGTAGGACATACAATGAAATACCCGGAGTACTGTAGGATAAACAATGAAATACCCAGGCTACTGTAGGATATACAATGAAATACCCGGAGTACTGTAGGATATACAATGAAATACCCGGAGTACTGTGGGACATACAATGAAATACCCGGAGTACTGTAGGATATACATTGAAATACCCGGAGTACTGTAGGATATACAATGAAATACCTGGAGTACTGTAGGATATACATTGAAATACCCGGAGTACTGTAGGATATACAATGAAATACCTGGAGTACTGTAGGATATACAATGAAATACCCGGAGTACTGTAGGATATACAATGAAATACCTGGAGTACTGTAGGATATACAATGAAATACCCGGAGTACTGTAGGATATACAATGAAATACTCGGAGTAATGTAGGATATACAATCAAATACCCAGAGTACTGTAGGACATACAATGAAATACCCGGAGTACTGTAGGATATACAATGAAATGCCCGGAGTTCTGTAGGATATACAATGAAATACCCGGAGTTCTGTAGGATATACAATGAAATACCCGGAGTAATGTAGGATATACAATGAAATACCCAGGCTACTGTAGGATATACAATTAAATACCCGGAGTACTGTAGGATATACAATGAAATACCCGGAGTACTGTAGGACATACAATGAAATACCCGGAAAACTGTAGGACAGGAAAAGACAAATCATGAAAGAACATTTGCCTTAGGTTTTGGTGAAATTGTGTTCCCTTAGCCTGCTTAATGTCGTGCAAAATGTGTTATGAGAATGTGTTATGAAAATGTGTTATGAGAATGTTCAGAAAATACAACTGTTTTGAAGCATTTACCGAACATAAAAATACGGCGGCGACAATCGGAATCGTAGACTCAATGTAAGCATAATCGGACATAATCTCATATCAGGTGCCCGTAATCCCAGCTCTGGGCGGTAATGCAGTTATACCAAGACGCCTCACGGTGACGTAAGGGCGCACGGGTATCTGCACGGGTGCAAGAACATCAGAAAAACATAATATGAGTTTCAAATCGGCGATCACCAATCCTGGCAAGCTCCCAACAACGATAGCCTGTTATTGGAGTGCCTTTGGCCCCGTTACGCAAAGCAATCTTAGCGTTACGTAGGTCCGTGTTAAAGTATTGGAGTTACGGTCACCTTAGCACCGAGGTCGGGTTTTGGAAAGCGCCCTGCACTATCGCTGCGACCAGGAGCAGCTCCCAACTGTGCTATAGTCAGTGTAGAACCATGCATCTTAAGTGAAGCAAAATCCATTTCCTCCAGCAGAATTGTTTTCTTTCGTTGTCAATTTAGAGACAATTTTAAGTTCTAGTTTATTAATTAAATGGGAATGTAAATGGAAACAGTATGCGTTGGTGTCGATTAACTCTGACTGAACAAAAGTACCAACATAAATTATCCGAAAAAAAGAAACTTTCAAAATTCACAATGATGGCATTCCCAAGGCCGAGGGCAACTATCATTAAAATTTTGACACAGTTCACTATTTGTTACGAGGGAGGAGTGCAGAGAAAGGGACAGCCAGGTGTTAGAGAAGCACGTGCACAAGTGCCCACCAAGTTATTGATTCATTAGCCTGTGCTGTGCCGTCTCCATCCTTTCTCGCACACCTGGCTGTCCCTTTCTCTGCACTCCTCCCTCGTAACAAATAGTGAACTGTGTCAAAATTTTAATGATAGTGTCTTAAAGAATTTGTTTGGTGGATTCCGGAAAATGTTCAAATATAAGAAAGCTGTTGGGTATTAGTAAATGATAAACATGTGTACTATTTATATTTATGTGGCAATTTTGTACAATGATAAAATTTGCAAGTCATCGGTCCGTTTCTGACTCAAACCTTGTCTTTATCTTGATTTTACCTCTCCCCCGTGAGGATGAGTTTTCTGTAGCGGCTTCCGTTGTTTACATATACCACACCCCGTCACATATCGTCCATGTATATGAGTCACGTTCTACTAATGTCATCTTCGATTTTCCAGTGTGTTCATTTCAATCTTATTAATGTAATAATTTAAATCTCTAGACAAAATATTGAACCATATAACACCGTTGAGTTGATATACCTACATTCAGCTATTCCCCAGTCACATAACAAGGGTGGGCATCTTTTAAATGTTTTGACCAGCGTTATCCTGTTTGGAATCGACCTGGGACTTCGGCACGAGGACCCAACTTTTAAGCCACTAGACTACCCCCTGTTACGCTTAGAGAATTCGCTTAATATATTAGACAGGACGTTAACAAGTACTACTGTTCACAAAAGGTTAGTGAAAGAGTATAATACTTGGGTTATATATCAAGCGTAAAATCCATGTTATAAAGTACGGACGGGCAGTCACCGCCGCGCCTCTTTACCTTCAGTACATTGAAGGGACATAGATCTCTCCAATGTACACTACCTGCCTACCGTACCCGCCTCACAGAGAGAGTATTGGTGATCTAGCAATAGCCCATTGTGTGGACATAAGCCTCTTGTACTCTTTCACTTCTCTGGCGTTATAATAAATCATGATCCAAAGTGTCGGCAAGATAAACCCAGCACTATTATTTAGCTACTTGACTATCGTCATGCACTGAGTCTAGTTACATGTTCTATATTTACATAATCGACTTGTGGTGGCCAGTGAAAGAATCAGTGGGCACGCAGGCTATCGTCAGGAAAGGGAGAGTTATTTGGTCATTGGGGCCTGAAACAACATGGCGCCTGCTACTATTGAAATGTGTTGATAACAGCATAAACGGATATCTACTGCTCGATAGTGTCCCGTGTTCAATAATGTAAAGAGCTGATAAGAAATTTACTTGGGACTTGACGTCGGAACAAAAGATGGATCAATCAGCTGAAGTATCGGAGGGGCGGGTAGAAAATTCCCTGAGACGACGATCTACTACAACGACTACTCCATTAGACAACCGGGACAGCAACGGCGGTGAACTACAACGTCCAGTCAGACATGCCAACTTTAATTCTAGCTCCACGAATGAACAAAGTCACGTGTCAGACGACATCACCCCTCAAGACGACGTCAACTCCGGGGGGATGGTAAAGGTGAGTGGGGAAGACAAAGAAACAAAGTTGCCAAAAATGCCTCCCAAAATGCTTCCACATTTTGGCGAACACCCTGTCAAGAAAGTCCGAAAGTGGAACAAGGCAGCCGAAAGAAAGCTAGAGATGGATGTGGAGTTTCTGACGCAGGAACTCAAAGCCAAAACATCCAAACTGGATAAGGGCATTCAGAGCGTGGAGGATGAGCTGCGAGATCTGGACCTAGAAAAAAGTTATACACCACGCTATAGTGAAATGGCGACAGGCTGTACCTTTAGCCAAAAATCAAACGTGACTTTACCCAACATTCCATGCAGTAGACGACACAACAGTAGCAGACGACAAAGAAGCGGCCATCGGTGTACATACAACCCAGTAAAATCGAAGCAAAAATGTCATCACTTTCCCTGTGTCCGCCCAAAGACGTACCACACGATTGGTTACCGTGGAGACCCCGGGAATACGTCATGGATGACGTGGGAAGACATTAAGCAGGGCTGGAACCTGCCAAATCTGGTCGACAACATCTCCACGTCCGTTCATGATGTTAAAGTTTCTCCCAGAATCTTGACGTTGAGAAAGGAAGAGAGATTAAGGCGGGTAATAGAACGTCGAAAGTTGATCAACGATATGCAGAGACCTCAAAGCTGGGAGACCAACTACGGGCAGCCGACCTCTTTCAAACAACTGAAGTACCCTGTCCGCCTTTACTCCCTCTCCAACTGATTGTAAGGAAAACAACGGAGTCTTGTGTGTACAAACCTTCCATATTGAAATGCAGTGGAACAGTCGAGGGAGCCATGGACAATTTGGGTTGTCCATATTCGAAACAAGCGATGTCGATGCGTCTCCTCGATGACGACAATGATACGGTACCACAGACCACATACTGCATCGTCATGGTGGATTTATCAAGTTAGCTGAGTTCGTATAATCGAGGTTTGACTATGTGTGTGTTTTATTTAACTAAATTAATCACAGCAGGAGAACAGACTCGCTGAAGAAGAACCATAAGGGATAATCTATACTTCATGTAGATCTGAAGAAGTAACTTTCGAGATCTCAAGACCGAACGGGTCGCTGTATATGTCGATTGCCTTCTGTAGTGATTTCAAGACCCAGTGTGGTTAATGTGTTTTTGTATGGATTTGTGAGTCATACGCCTGACTGTGATAACAAATATATTTATAGTTTTCTCAGGACAGAGTTTGACAAAAAACGACTTTTTGAAAGAAATCAAGCGTCAATGTGTCACCATGTGTTGGTTCACTGTAGTTCAACATAATGCGGTCAATGTGTCACCATGTGTTGGGTGACTGTCTTGTACACAACCCACCAGTTCAACATAGTGTACTGTATACTGGCGGTCGGGGTGCACGCCTTGTTCTGTGTTTGTGTCAATGTGTCACCATGTGTTGGGTGGTGACTGTTCAACATAGTACGGTACTGTACAACTGGCGGTCCCGCAGTTCATGTGTCACATGTGTTGGGTGATACACAACCCACCAGTTCAACATAACGGTACTGTACTGTATACTGGCGGTCGGGGTGCACGCCTTGTTTTGTGTTTGTGCGATGGTGTGTTGGGTGACTGGTACACAACCCACCAGTTCAACATGTACCTGTTGTTCGGGTGTGTTTGTGTCAATGTGTCACCATGTGTTGGGTGACTGTCTTGTACACAACCCACCAGTTCAACATAGTACGGTACTGTACTGTATACTGGCGGTCGAGGTACACGCCTTGTTCTGTGTTTGTGTCAATGTGTCACCATGTGTTGGGTGACTGTCTTGTACACAACTGACTGACTGACTATTTCATCATGCAAGCTTCTGTGATAACCATTTCCTGACTGTGTTCGGCGTGGGTTGTCAACATAGATAGTGAACTATTTAAATTCACGGAGGAAGGGATGACACAACCGCCATTCACACACTGACGCCCCGGCTTTGTGACAGTTTGACTTAAAAATGATGAAATAGGGTCAAAGCAAAATTCACTTGTGCGATAATAAAGGGAATGCCACATCAAGTGTCCTTCAGTCTCTGTTTGAACACCCGGTGTTATCGTTACATAACGCCAGTAAATAGACATTACCTATTTTCGTTTCATTACTGGAGTTCATTCATGTAGGATGATGTTAGTTTACCACATTGAGCGAGTGAGTGAGTGAGCGGTTGGAAGACGCCGGTTTTTGACACCATTCTAGTGGTGTATTCCCATACTGCCTACAGTTCCAAACTGCCTACAGGTTAAAACAACATGATACGGTCCAGTGATCAGGAAGTGAATACACTGATCTGACCTGTTCTACCCCTGCTAAAATGAACTTGACCAGTTACTTGGTTAATGAACTGACCTGTTCTATGGTGTCTTCCCACTCTGCCTACAGAAGTTTAAAAAATGACAACTGTTAGTTGGTTTATTCATTCTGAGAATTCTCCGTCTTCACATAGAGATATGGATATATCATGAAAACTTGATAAGTTTTAATGTCTTTTACTGGTTTTACAGTCTCTTACTGGTTTCACAGTTACACACCTCTGACAAGGATGTACATTTCGTTGCCATGGACTCCGATATGTGACGGGACCCAGATAAAATGAATTTGATTATTTTTGTTTTGGTGGTATAGTATTCTTCTGTATATGTTATTTATTAGATCTTATGGTCTTTTTGTTATAGAGTAATATTTGAGAGCTTGTATGGAGCTTAAGGAATCCGTTAAAATGCAGATGGTAGTGTTTGTTTGGTCAGATGTTGTTTGCAAGGCCTGAACTATGGCTGCGAGTTCTGCTGTGATGATACTGGAGTGTGCCGGGAGATTATAGGATTGTTTAAGGCTTTTTGGGGGTATGTAGATACCAAAACCAATAGTACTCTTCTGATTTCAAGCACATTCTAACAAATCCCAAATTAATTAAACCACTCACTAAATACCCCATTCATACAAAATTATACCAAACAATCTAGCAACAAAAACAATAATACCACTTTTTACCATTTTAAAAATTGTTATAAATATGTATATATGTTCTTTTAACTTTTTAAATCAGTTCTCTCTGTTTATCAAGTTCATTTTTTAACCTTTTATATATTTATCATTATTCACTTAATAAATATGTTTTTATTAAAGTTGGTTAAAAAATACAGTAACAATAACCATTTACTACACCACATCTACATTAAATTCAAAATCTCTGATACTCTTTACCTGTTTCATATTTTTTTTACCTTTTTAAGTCGGCATCCCATTCAAATTTCCCTTAATACTCAGTTGTTCGAGTTGTTTTTTTGGGGTAGTAACACCACTCTTTCGAAATTTCTATTTTCTGTTCCCCTCATTTCTTAGTAAGTGTACAACCCTTAGTTGTGCGTGCGACCTTAAATAAAGCAAATAACTACTACTACCTTACTCCAAACGACACACCCCTTCTTCATTTGATAATTGGGCTGTTCCATTATTCTGCAGGGCCAAAAACATTTCCTACGCTGCCTACAATATTTTTGTTGGCAGTTTGGGATGTAGGCAGTTTGGAACTGTAGGCAGTATGGGACCTAACCATTCTAGTTATGTCCCGGGATGCCAGCATACAAAGGGAGGTAACCCTGAAGTGAAGCAGGTCTCGCATGTGTATGGTGCTGACTGAACATCTGGGTAAGAGTTAATCTTCAGTAACCCATGCTTGTCGTATGAGGCGACTAACGGGATCGGGCGGTTAGGCTCGCTGAATTGGTTGACACATGTCATCGTATCCCAACTGCGTAGATCGATGCTCATGCTGTTGATCACTGGATTGTCTGGTCCAGTCTCAAATATAGCTGGAATATTGCTGAATGCGGCGCAAAACAACAAACCAACCAACCAACCAACCATGGTGCTGATAAACCTATGAAAATAATTCGCTCTTATCGGGATGACAAGTAGATGTTATACCTGTGAAGTTATATATTTATAAAATCTGGTCAGCGTTAGAGATTTAGTTTTACGCCGCACTCAGCAATATTCCAGCTATATGGCCAGCGTTAGAAACCAAATGGGCATCGGCAGGTCACAATGGCAGACCAGTATGAGAAGTATAGGCGTATCCAGAGGGTGGTGGTGGTGCAGGCCATTGACCATTCAAACTCTCGTGAAAACGGATGAAATGAACTGTGTCCCCCTCCCCCCTTTCTCCCCTACTGAACTGTGCAAATACACCAACCCTCCCCCTCTTTTTTCTCTCAAAAAGCTGTATTCGCCCCTGGGTCTGTTGGAGAACACGAACAGCAGATGTGTGTGGACGTGCATAGTGACGTGTGGACATGCCTAACTTGATGATGTCACGTGTGTGGACGTGTGTGGAGGCATGTATGGACATTGTATCAAAGTGTTTGGTTGTTTAATTGTTGTTTAACGCAGCATTCATGACTATTCCAGCCATATGGTCCGTAAATAATCGAGTCTGGACCAAACAATCCAGTCTGGACCAGACAATCCATTGATTGACATCGTGAACATCGATCCCCGCTTTTCGAACAGGATAACACGTGTCAACCAAGTCAGCGAGTCTGATCCCCCTGTCCCGTTAGAATGGACATGTGTAGCCAAATGTTTTGGCACGTATTGTGGCGTGAGCGGATGTGTGAAAACATGTTAGAAGTCGTGGGCTGACGTATGTTGTGCCCTTAAACGGAGTGGACGGAGCTTATGTGACCACGTCATACGTGTTTCGTACGCACTACTTCTCTCGCACAACAGACGTATGTGAGGGCAACGCTGGGCTTTCCACAGGAAAAGAACCTCCCGGTAACGGCCTGACTTCCTGGGTCGTGACTGGGAGATGTCCGCCGTTAAATCCTCTATCACCTCCTTGCGCTTAATCGGGATTGGTAACAGACAAAGATTTCCCCTTGGAATATACGCATAGCTTTATACAAAAAATCCACCTGTTAAAACGTAAGCCTACATGGAAAAGTGCACTACGATAGGTAAACCATGCATGCATATTATGAAAGAAAAATATCATTCAATCACGGATGTGGCCGAATTTGGTTGAGATGTGTTTGAGGAAGGAAATAGCAATGTTATATGTTGTGGGTCGACTTGCGGCTCGAGCGTAAGAACAGAAAGACGTGTACGAGGTGAGTACTGTGGTGGATTAGCGTCAACAGACGTAGATCTATAAGCTCAATGTGAAGTATGGACGGCTAGATCGCCCAAGGGTAGCAGAGAGCCGCAATGCGGTCGCGATGCAAGGCGCGAGGATATATGCATGTCTTCACTATTGGACCGCATCGCGGCTCTCGGCTAGCCCAAGGTGAGCGCCGCTGCAATTTAACGTGCATAATATCGCCCTTGGTCGTGCAAGAATCATAGGATTCTTGGATGGAATCCAAGGTTCGCTTTGATTATGATTCTTCCATCACGGATAGTATAGGCAGAGACCATGGTCTCTGGTATAGGCTAACATCTGCACCACAAATTCTTCACTCACGCGGGTAACTGACTGCCTCAGCGCTAGCCTTGCTCCAAGGCTGTACTGTATGCTGACCCCATGGATGTATAGTAATTCTATCTTAAAGTCTAGATAAGCGGACAGCACAGGACCCCAGTCTGTTATTTATTAGAAATTATCATTTAAACTATTAATTTTTACCTTAGAGACTTATGCAAGTCTACCGCCTACAGAGTACTTTCCTTCAGTTTAGTGCCTGGATAGTTTCTCGCGCTGAATGTCATACTCCATGACAGCAAACCACTGCAGCTACACTGTTAGAGAGTGCTGACAGTGTGTTTGATATACACTTCTAGAGAAGATCACGATAGCAACACTGAAGACAGTACTTAACAAGGGAATGTACACGGGAAAGTGCTGACAGTGGCAGATTATGTTGATCAAACGCATTGGCGGTTCTAGGGACAGCTTCTTGAGATTTATTGAATTTCGATTCTCGAAGCGACTTTTCACAGTTGCTCTTGTAAAACATTCGTTACATTGTTAAACCTAACACTTGTTATCATTCGTGCACATCTCCAAAAGTATCACCAGTGGGCATAATATTAGGTAGTTGTCCCGGGGAGATGACTCCGATTGGAACTGGTGTTCTGCAACCCATGCTTGTCAATGGCCGGAATCGCTGACTTGATTGACGCAGGGCCCCGTTTCACAAAGCTCTCGTAAGCCTAAGATCTCGTAACTTTTCTCGTAGCATTCGTACTTCCTATGTTAGCGTATAGGAGGTGCGAATGCTACGAGAAAGTTTACGAGATCTTAGGCTTACGAGAGCTTTGTGAAACGGGGCCCACTTCATCGTATACCGTCGTAGATCGATGTTCAGTATGTCAATCACTCGATTGTCTGGTCAAGAATCAATTATGTTCAGACCGCCGTCATACAGCTCGGCTAGAACGTCGCGAAACAACTCGCCAACAAACAAAATGTACACATGTCCGTTTCTTGTGGTTGAATTGAGACGTTGGGGTAGGCAAGTGGTAAGCGTTCGCTTGTCACGCCGAAGACACGGGTTTGATTCCCCACACTGTACAATGTGTGAAGCCCATTTCATGTCCGTTGACTTGACATTGCTAAAACGGCTCCTGAATGTACAGTCATATTGGTCCTTTGTACTGGGACCTGTTCTTAAATGGACGGTTCCCAATTGCGCAGATCGATGCTCATGCTGTTGATCACTGGATTGTCTGGTCCAGACTCGATTATTTACAGACCGCCGCCATATAGCTGGAATATTGCTGAGTGCAGCGTAAAACTAAACTCACTCACTCACTCTTAAATGGATGAACATTTATCAATACATACAATGCACATGCTCAAACAATAATGTACCTGTCTTCTTTCTGTCCGCATATCACACAAACACTTTCTTTATTGATATGTTTATTTCTAATTTTCTGCAATTTCTGTCGTTTTCATCTACAGTGCGACGGTATGTAGATCCAGTAAAAATATTTGATTACTCTTCAGTGAAGGTGAAATACATACTTATAGAAGTATCGTGACATTGTTGTCTGTGTCGGTTTCTTACGATGGCTAATGGGACAAAATTTATTAATATTCAAAATTTCACTCAGTAAACATCGTCGGCTCACTTCAGTAACATTTACTAGTCTGGATGAATTGACGGTTAACTTTGATTATAACAGGGAGACTCTATAAGGTTGTAGAGTATCCCTGATTATAACGAGGTCCAACGCGGATAGGTTCACTTAAGAAACGCGTTGACCATGGACAAAAATAAAAAATATAACAAAAACATCAACAACAACAAACAAAAACAGCAAAAACAACGCCACAAGTACATAATCTAAATATAGCATTCGTTCTCATCTGATACAAAGAAGCCATAATCTGATACAGACTTCGCCTGGTGCTGTTTGGTCAGGCAAGAGTTGTCTCCCAATAATCCTGTGACTTCGCTTCTGCGCGAGGCATAAGGCCGGCGATTTTGCTTGCCTTCAGATACTAGAAGATACGCAGATGGCAGCCTTGATTGTGTAACACGTCACAACCGTTACTATCATATCTTCAAAGGGGATATTGTCAACATTACGGGATAGAAAGGTAACAATGCGGTGAAAGCAAGTGTGTAGTGGTCAGATGACGTATTTGTTGGACTGAGTTACAAGTTGTACGGGGTGGTCATCTCGTGACGTATTTAGCATCATAAACATCTTTATTGTCAGCTTTCGTAAAATCAGTCGACAATTTATGAAAGTCGTCTTATGTTGTTTTTCTAACAAATTAATAATTGTTCTGTTTACAGCAGCGTGTTATGTGTAGATAGCGTTCTATTTTCAGTCAGGAAGTGAAATTCCACATCACAGGGAAATAACCTTTGGGAATTCCCAGCTTCTAGGGCTCTACTGTATGCGTTCCTATATTATGGGGGGGTGGGAAATTGTGTTTGTAGAAGTAGTTTGTTTATGGGTTATAATGTTAGGTGGAGGTGTTAAAGGTTCTTGTACATCGAGGTGTTCAGCATTTGTGTCAACAACAATGGCAGCTATCGAAACCGAAAGTAGGTTTCTGAGGAAGAGTCTTGGCAGTTTGCGAAAAACGTGACGCATGGTCTAGCGTGTGGTTGCGTGGGCGTTTCTTTGAAAAGTGACACGTTTTTGCTCTTTGTTAAACAAAGTGATGCATTGTGAAGTTCATATTTGCATAAAGAATATTGGAAGTGTTGGATAGTAGTACCGCCTGTTGCGCTGCCTGGGTGTAACTGCTCAAGGTAACTTCATTATTAGATGCCACACTATACATGATTGAATGACATTAACGTGTCCAATGGAGTATTTCCATGATATTGAAATACTTAAAAACAATTTTTACTTCTTATTTACTTATTATTTTAAGACAGGAAATTAGTATTTTCTAACATAAGCTTTCACTTAATATAACTGACATGTTTCCTCTGTGAAGAGTTACATCCCTTAGTTGTAGCAGAATCTGCTGACTGTGGGTTTCTCCCAGATTAGCCTTGATTATTGTGTTGACTTGTCAGCACCATGCCTATAAGTAGGCATCCCAACAGTGATCCTCTAAGGCATGTAGGCATCCCAACAGTGATCCTATAAGGCATGTAGGCATCACAACAGTGATACTGTCTATGGGTGTGTTTGTATATATTGTCACACTCAGAAATAAAAAGAAGTTGTAATCCATAAAGTTTGTTCTATATTGCACCATATATTTTTCATAATTTGAACAGTCCAAAGGCATTAAATGTAAACATCAACTAAGTATTGTGTTTTATATACACTCTCTGGTCCTGATGTCAGTGAGGTAAAGGTGACATATGCAGAGCCAACAAATTATTGTCATGAACTCAATTGGGAAATATCGCTTTCATGGCTTGTGGTCCACAAAGTTTCCACTATGTGTCCACTGCCAGGTGCATAGCAAGCCAATATTTTCGTGTAAGCCCCATAGGTTGCAAAGCTTTATATTTAGATAGTATTGAGGGCTTGTCCAACCTTTTAGAAAAATGTCTGGGCAACCATTTTTAGCGGTAAAAATCATAGTGTAAGCCCGGGCTTTTTCTTATATTGGAAGCTACGCCCTTGACTACATGTTGTAGTGTTTTGCATTGACATTGGCCGATACTGTCCAGCAACCCAGACATAAAACTTGCTGTATCTCTGTTTCCAGCAACCACAACCCACTGTGGCACCACAACTGTCAGACAGACGTGATGGAGCAGATTCCACAAGTGAAGATCACCAGTCAGATATACTTCCAGAGGTTCCGATATGGGAAGGAGAACCGGGGACCGGGGAGCGAGGAAACACCGGGAAGAGGACTTCATGGAGGTCACAGTAGGTGGAATAATAGGACTTTATGGAGGTCACAGTGGGTGGAATAATAGGACTTCATGGAGGTCACAGTGGGTGGAATAATAGGACTTCATGGAGGTCACAGTGGGTGGAATAATAGGACTTTCATGGAGGTCACAGTAGGTGGAATAATAGGACTTCATGGAGGTCACAGTAGGTGGAATAATAGGACTTCATGGAGGTCACAGTAGGTGGAATAATAGGACTTTATGGAGGTCACAGTGGGTGGAATAATAGGACTTCAAGGAGGTCACAGTGGATGGAATAATAGGACTTCAAGGAGGTCACAGTGGGTGGAATAATAGGACTTCAAGGAGGTCACAGTGGGTGGAATAATAGGACTTCAAGGAGGTCACAGTGGGTGGAATAACAGGATTTCAAGGAGGTCACAGTGGGTGGAACAGCAGGATTTCAACGAGGTCATGTAAGATGGAAGAATAAGACTTCAAGGAAGTCACAGTGGGTGGTATATTAGGATGTTAGATGGAATAATGGATTTCAAGGAGGTCTCAGTGGGTGGAATAAGAGGACTTCAAGGAGGTCTCAGTGGGTGGGATAAGAGGACTTCAAGGAGGTCACAGTGGTGGAATGGAATAAGAGGTTCAGTGGGTAGAATGGAGGTCGGAGGTGGGTGGGAATAACAGAGGACTTCAAGGAGGTCACAGTGGGTGGAATAACAGGATTTCAAGGAGGTCACAGTGGGTGGAATAATAGGACTTCAAGGAGGTCACAGTGGCTGGAATAACAGGATTTCAAGGAGGTCCCAGTGGGTGGAACAACAGGATTTCAACGAGGTCATGTTAGATGGAAGGATAAGACTTCAAGGAAGTCACAGTGGGTGGTATATTAGGATGTTAGATGGAATAATGGATTTCAAGGAGGTCTCAGTGGGTGGAATAAGAGGACTTCAAGGAGGTCTCAGTGGGTGGGATAAGAGGACTTCAAGGAGGCCACGGTGGGTGGAATAATAGTATTTCAAGCTGGTCAGAGAGGGTGGAATAATAAGATTTCAAGGAGGTCAGGTCCCAGTTGGTGGAATAATAGGACTTCAAAGAGGTTACAGTGGGTGGAATAACAGGACTGACTGACTGACTGAGTTTGGTTTTACGCCGCTTTTAGCAATATTCCAGCAACATCACAGCGGGGGACACCAGAAATGGGCTTCACACATTGTGCCCATGTGGGGATTCGAACCCGGTCTTCGGCATGACGAGCCAACGCTTTAACCATTAGGCTACCCCACCGGCCCTGGAATAACAGGATTTCAAGGAGGTCACAGTGGGTGGAATAATAGGGCCTTAAGGAAGTCAGGTCACAGTGTGTGGAATATTAGGACTTCAAAGGAGGTCACAGTGGGTGGAATAATAGGGCCTTAAGGAAGTCAGGTCACAGTGTGTGGAATATTAGGACTTCAAGGAGGTCACAGTGGGTGGAATAATAGGACCGTAAGGAAGTCAGGTCACAGTGTGTGGAATATTAGGACTTCAAGGAGGTCACAGTGGGTGGAATAATAGGACCGTAAGGAAGTCAGGTCACAGTGTGTGGAATATTAGGACTTCAAGGAGGTCAAAGTGGGTGGAATAATAGGACCGTAAGGAAGTCAGGTCACAGTGTGTGGAATATTAGGACTTCAAGGAGGTCACGGTTACTAATTCAAGGAGGTCACGGTTACTAATGGAAATAACACATTTTGCAGCTTACTTTCTCACTGTACCAGTTACAGGGTTGTAGGGTGCCCAGCACAGTGGTGAGTTGTAACTAGTGTCAGCGATTGTATAGACAGCTTTGGGAACAGGTGTGAGGTGTTTGGCGTATATGCAAAGGGACATTACTCTGTTCTCATGACACTTGAATCAGTCTCCTTGTAAGGTGAGGTGAGGTGAACTTGGGTTTTTACGTCGTGCTTGGGAATATTTCGCTCATATGACGACGTGCATGCGTGTGTAAGTGTATGTATGGCTGCTTGTACTAGCCCAGACTTAAGCTGGTTTTATAGTGCTAGCCCACTGAGATACCATGCCGCAGTGAAGCATGAATACCCCACTTAGACATTATACTGACTCCGAGCCGACCAGTTGTACCTATTAATGCCGAGCGCCAGGCAGGGACCAACAAGTACCATATTTTAACGTCTTTTTGGTATGACGAGGTCAGGGATTGAGCCCGCGACTTTCCACTCTCTCCGGGCGGACGCTCTAACCACTACACCATGGTCAGTCTCCTTGTAGGGTATTTGAGGTGAGAATAGGTTCTAAGGGAGTGCTGGGTGCTGAATGTATGGAGTAGTCAGGCCTTCTGATAGCATGTCTATGTACATCAAGTAGCTGTGTGATGATTCATCGATATGCATCGATGCATTGATCCATGGGCCGCCGATACAGTGAATCAATACAAAGTTTTACATTGTTGTATATCCCAATACGATACTTCAAATGGGCCACGATACTTCAAATGGGCCACGATACATTGATGTTTTACTTTGAATATTGCAGAATCCCGATATCTGTCAAGAAAGACTTACTTTTGTTTAATGATTAAAATATATGCATACTTATTTTCCCTTCATAAGTTTCTCAGAAATTCTTGCAGGAACTGTGTCAAACATAGTGCTCACATTTTATTAACATTCACAAAGTCTGTGTTTATACGTAATTATCTCATTTCCGAATGAACATTGAAAAACGCTGGCGGAATTTGACAAAATACCTTCAAGTGGTTTTGTTTTCAAAGTGTTTTATAGTTGGTGTTAGAATTAAAGGTTTTAGTATCCTGATATGTATCGTATCGCCACCCTTGTATTGGGATTCATATCGTATCGCAGCTTCAGTGCACAATACTTTGGCAATATATCATCGTGACTAAAATTATACTATCGTGATGCATCGTATCGCAGGATGTATGCCAATACCAGCACTAACATCAAGACACATAATATTCCTCACTAGGTCCACATGACATGAGTACAGGCTCCCATCTTGTTACTGATGAATCTCAGAATGATGTGGTTGGTAAACAACAGGCATACAAACTCAAATAAGTATACTGCATGTGGTTATCAAGATCTTCCCCGGATCAGCAAGTGACAGGATTGTTATTACTGTGGTTTCAGCTACAGAACATCCCTGAAGGAGCTGTGATGAAGGTTTTCTGTGTCAGGTCTGTTGATGAGCAGTGTCCCCACCCAAACTCTGTGGATGGACACAACTGCAGTGAAGGGGTCTACTGCCATCCCCCTTTCAGGAGACATTGTGGAGAAGAAACACTCAAGTAAGGATAACCTGGTCATAAAGTCTGTGTTGCTCTCTCTCTACTGCTACTTACCAGCTCTGGGTGTTGCATTCTCAGTCACCAGTGTTTCAGTGTGCTTTAGACGGCAGTCTTGCAGACAGAAAAACACTCTGATTGGCCCACTTTCTTGGCAAAAAGTGTTACTGGCACTTTAATGTGGACCAAAATCACACTGCAGGATTGTTTAGGTTGCTGAACAGACCACCATTTAATTGGTCTTCAAAAATTGCTAGTAGACAGGGGCAAACAGACCAACATTAGTGTCAAATTCTGCTTTCTGTGTTTCTCTCGCTCACTTACTCACACTCTATTCTTTCAGGATTCCTTGGCTGCAAATCAACAGAACTAAGAAAGGAGACATGGAGACTGCACTGGGGAATCGCCTGGCTGTGCTTCCACAAAAATATCAAGGTACTTCATCCGAACAATTCTGTTCTCATAAACTTAGTCTCTGGGTTTGTCAGTCAGTGTCTGTAGTTTGTCTGTGTGAGTCTTGTCTGTGTCAGGTGGTTGCCAGGTGCTGATGAAGTCTGTGTATCTGTCTGTCTGTGGCAGGTGGTTGCCAGGCTCTGATGAAGGTGGTTGCCTGATGAAGGTGGTCAGGTGTGTGAAGTCTGTCTGTCTGTGTGGCAGGTGGTTGCCAGGTGCTGATGAAGTCTGTGTATCTGTCTGTCTGTGGCAGGTGGTTGCCAGGTGCTGATGAAGTCTGTGTATCTGTCTGTCTGTGGCAGGTGGTTGCCAGGTGCTGATGAAGTCTGTGTATCTGTCTGTCTGTGGCAGGTGGTTGCCAGGTGCTGATGAAGTCTGTGTATCTGTCTGTCTGTGTCAGGTGGTTGCCAGGTGCTGATGAAGTCTGTGTATCTGTCTGTCTGTGTCAGGTGGTTGCCAGGTGCTGATGAAGTCTGTGCTGATGAATCTGTCTGTCTGTGTCAGGTGGTTGACAGGTGCTGATGAAGTCTGTGTATCTGTCTGTCTGTGTCAGGTGGTTGTCAGGCAGGTGGTTGCCAGGTGCTGATGAAGTCTGTGTATCTGTCTGTCTGTGGCAGGTGGTTGCCAGGCGCTGATGAAGTCTGTGTATCTGTCTGTCTGTGGCAGGTGGTTGCCAGGTGCTGATGAAGTCTGTGTATCTGTCTGTCTGTGTCAGGTGGTTGCCAGGTGCTGATCAAGTCTGTGTATCTGTTGAGGTGGTTGCTGCTGATGAATCTGTATCTGTCTGTCTGTGGCAGGTGGTTGCCAGGTGCTGATGAAGTCTGTGTATCTGTCTGTCTGTGGCAGGTGGTTGCCAGGTGCTGATGAAGTCTGTGTATCTGTCTGTCTGTGGCAGGTGGTTGCCAGGTGCTGATGAAGTCTGTGTATCTGTCTGTTGCCAGGTGCTGATGAAGTCTGTGTATTCTGTCTGGTCTGTGGCAGGTGCTGATGAGTCTGTTTCTGTCTGTCTGCAGGTGGTTATGCTGATGAAGTCTGTGTATCTGTCTGTCTGTGGCAGGTGGTTGCCAGGTGCTGATGGAGTCCGTGTATCTATCTGTCTGTCTGTCTGTGGCAGGTTGTTGCCAGCCACTGATGAAGTCTGTGTATCTATCTGTCTGTCTGTCTGTCTGTCTGTGTCAGGTAGTTGCCAGGCACTGATGAAGTTTGTGTATCTGTCTGTCTGTCTGTGATAGGTGGTTGCCAAGCTGATGAAGTCTGTATTTCTGTCTGTTTGTCTGTGACAGGTGCTGATGAAGTCTGTGTATCGTCTTGCCTGGTGGTTGCTGATGAAGTCTGTGTATCTGTCTGTGTGTCTGTCTGTGTCAGGTGGTTGCCAGGCGCTGATGAAGTCTGTGTATCTGTCTGTCTGTCTGTGACAGGTGGTTGCCAAGCGCTGATGAAGCCTGTGTATCTGTCTGTCTGTCTGTGACAGGTGGTTGCCAGGCACTGATGAAGTCTGTGTATCTGTCTGTGTGTCTGTCTGTCTGTGGCAGGTGGTTGCCAGGCGCTGATGAAGTCTGTGTCAGGTGGTTGCCAGGCGCTGATGAAGTCTGTTCATCTGTCTGTCTGTCTGTTGGTGGCAGGTGGTTGCCAAGTGCTGATGAAGTCTGTGTATCTGTATGTCTCTCTGTGGCAGGTGGTTGCCAGGCACTGATGAAGTCTGTGTATCTGTCTCTCTGTGTCAGGTGGTTGCCAGGCACTGATGAAGTCTGTGTATCTGTCTGTCTGTCTGTTGGTGGCAGGTGGTTGCCAAATGCTGATGAAGTCTGTGTATCTGTCTGTCTGTGTCAGGTGGTTGCCAGGCACTGATGAAGTCTGTGTATCCGTCTGTCTGTTTGTTGGTGGCAGGTGGTTGCCAGCCGCTGATGAAGTCTGTGTATCTGTATGTCTGTCTGTGGCAGGTGGTTGCCAAGCGCTGATGGAGTCTCTCAGACAAAGTGTCAAGATGGACACCAACCAGGTCTACCTTTGTGTGCATGTGTCCTGGGCCAACCACCCAGGTATCTTCGATGTCTCCAGGCTCATAAAGAATGAAGGTAACTTTCAAATCAGAAATCTGATAACTCACCCCTGGTGCAGAGTCCAAAAATACCCAATGCTCATTGGAGAAGTGAATTTTGAACTTCCAGTAATGGACCAGTGGCAGATGCCAAATACTGGGAGCATTCAACTCTACTGGAACAAAATATTGAATGTCCTGCCAGTCCAGTGAACCATAGATATATGACTGGAAGAAAACATGCACATCACTGATATCATTGCTGCGATATCGCAGTCAGGCCTAGTCAGTGTTAGCAAGGAGCCCTGGTTAAAGAATTTATAGGATAAATATGATAGTGACAAGACGGAAACATGGAAGCTGGAGTGGAATGTGTTAATGGTTTTGTTTTCTACCCCCAGATAAATGTTCCAGATTGAGGATTGATGAACTTTCTCACACTTCTGTCACAGTGGATGGAGGGAGAATCCTCATCCTGATGGCCGAGGACAGTCCAGCCTTAGAGCCAGGTGAGTGTGTGTGATATATGTATGTCCAGCCTTAGAGCCAGGTGGGTGTGTGTGATATATGTATGTCCAGCCATAGAGCCAGGTGGGTGTGTGTGATATATGTATGTCCAGCCTTAGAGCCAGGTGGGTGTGTGTACGAGGTGATATATGTATGTCCAGCCATAGAGCCAGGTGAGTGTGTGTGATATATGTATGTCCAGCCATAGAGCCAGGTGGGGTGTAATGCAGGTGATATATGTATGTCCAGCCATAGAGCCCAGGTGGGTGTATATGAGATGATATATGAATGTCCAGCCTTAGAGCCAGGTGGGTGTGTGTGATATATGTATGTCAGCCATAGAGCCAGGTGAGTGTGTGTGATATATGTATGTCCAGCCATAGAGCCAGGTGGGTGTGTGTGTGATATATGTATGTCAGCCATAGAGCCAGGTGGGTGTGTAATGAGGTGATATATGTATGTCCAGCCATAGAGCCAGGTGAGTGTGTGTGATATATGTATGTCCAGCCATAGAGCCAGGTGGGTGTGTGCGAGGTGATATATGTATGTCCAGCCATAGAGCCAGGTGGTGTGTGTGCAGGTGATATATGTATGTCCAGCCATAGAGCCAGGTGGGGTGTGTCAATGCAGGTGATATATGTATGTCCAGCCATAGAGCCAGGTGAGTGTGTGTGATATATGTATGTCCAGCCATAGAGCCAGGTGGGTGTGTACGAGGTGATATATGTATGTCCAGCCATAGAGCCAGGTGAGTGTGTACGAGGTGATATATGTATGTCCAGCCATAGAGCCAGGTAGGGGTGTGTACAAGGTGATATATGTATGTCCAGCCATAGAGCCAGGTGGTGTGTGTACGAGGTGATATATGTATGTCCAGCCATAGAGCCAGGTGGGTGTGTACGAGGTGATATATGTATGTCCAGCCTTAGAGCCAGGTGAGTGTGTGTGATATATGTGTGTCCAACCTTTGAACCAGGTGGGTGTGTATGAGGTGATATATGTATGTCCAGCCTTAGAGCCAGGTGTGTGTGTACGAGGTGATATATGTATGTCCAGCCATAGAGCCAGGTGTGTGTGTGTGATATATGTATGTCCACCCTTAGAGCCAGGTGGGTGTGTGTGATATATGTATGTCCAGCCATAGAGCCAGGTGAGTGTGTATGAGGTGATATATTTATGTCCAGCCATAGAACCAGGTGGGTGTGTACGAGGTGATATATGTATGTCCAGCCATAGAGCCAGGTGGGTGTGTACGAGGTGATATATGTATGTCAGCCATAGAGCCAGGTGGGTGTGTATGAGATGATATATGTATGTCCAGCCATAGAGCCAGGTGGGTGTGTACGAGGTGATATATGTATGTCCAGCCAAAGAGCCAGGTGTGTGTGTGTGTGATATATGTATGTCCAGCCATAGAGCCAGGTGGGTGTGTGTGATATATGTATGTCCAGCCATAGAGCCAGGTGGGTGTGTATGAGGTGATATATGTATGTCCAGCCATAGAGCCAGGTGGGTGTGTACGCAGTGATATATGTATGTCCAGCCATAGAGCCAGGTGGGTGTGTACGAGGTGATATATGTATGTCCAGCCATAGAGCCAGGTGGGTGTGTACGAGGTGATATATGTATGTCCAGCCATAGAGCCAGGTGGGTGTGTACGAGGTGATATATGAATGTCCAGCCATAGAGCCAGGTGAGTGTGTATGAGGTGATATATGTATGTCCAGCCATAGAGCCAGGTGGGTGTGTATGAGGTGATATATGTATGTCCAACCATAGAGCCAGGTGAGTGTGTGTGCAGAGGTGATATATGTATGTCCAACCATAGAGCCAGGTGGGTGTGTACGAGGTGATATATGTATGTCCAGCCATAGAGCCAGGTGGGTGTATACGAGATGATATATGTATGTCCAGCCATAGAGCCAGGTGAGTGTGTATGAGGTGATATATGAATGTCCAGCCATAGAGCCAGGTGAGTGTGTATGAGGTGATATATGTATGTCCAGCCATAGAGCCAGGTGGGTGTGTATGAGGTGATATATGTATGTCCAACCATAGAGCCAGGTGAGTGTGTGAGGTGATATATGTATGTCAACCATAGAGCCAGGTGGGTGTGTACGAGGTGATATATGTATGTCCAGCCATAGAGCCAGGTGGGTGTGTACGAGGTGATATATGTATGTCCAGCCATAGAGCCAGGTGAGTGTGTATGAGGTGATATATGAATGTCCAGCCATAGAGCCAGGTGGGTGTGTACGAGGTGATATATGTATGTCCAGCCATAGAGCCAGGTGAGGTGTGTGTGATATATGTATGTCCAGCCATAGAGCCAGGTGGGTGTGTACGAGGTGATATATGTATGTCCAGCCATAGAGCCAGGTTGGTGTGTAAGAGGTGATGTATGTATGTCCAGCCTTAGAGCCAGGTGGGTGTGTATGAGGTGATATATGAATGTCCAGCCATAGAGCCAGGTGGGTGTGTGCGGGGTGATATATGTATGTCCAGCCATAGAGCCAGGTGGAGGTGTATCTGAGATGATATATGTATGTCCAGCCATAGAGAGCCAGGTGAGTGTGTGCATGAGGTGATATATGTATGTCCAGCCATAGAGCCAGGTGAGTGTGTATGAGGGTGATATATGTATGTCTAACCATAGAGCCAGGTGGGTGTGTGCGAGGTGATATATGTATATGTCCAGCCTTAGAGCCAGGAGGTGTGTGCAGGTGATATATGTATGTCAGCCATAGAGCCAGGTGGGTGTGTGCAGGTGATATATGTATGTCCAGCCTTAGAGCCAGGTGGGTGTGTGCAAGGTGATATATGTATGTCCATGATAGAGCCAGGTGGGTGTGTATGCAGGTGATATATGTATGTCCAGCCAAAGAGCCAGGTGTGTGTGTGTGTGATATATGTATGTCCAGCCATAGAGCCAGGTGGGTGTGTGAGGTGATATATGTATGTCCAGCCATAGAGCCAGGTGGGTGTGTACGAGGTGATATATGTATGTCCAGCCATAGAGCCAGGTGGGTGTGTACGAGGTGATATATGTATGTCCAGCCATAGAGCCAGGTGGGTGTGTACGAGGTGATATATGTATGTCCAGCCATAGAGCCAGGTGGGTGTGTATGAGGTGATATATGAATGTCCAGCCATAGAGCCAGGTGAGTGTGTATGAGGTGATATATATGCATGTCCAGCCATAGAGCCAGGTTGGTGTGTGTGTATTGATATATGTATGTCCAACCATAGAGCCAGGTGGGTGTGTATGAGGTGATATATGTATGTCCAGCCATAGAGCCAGGTGGGTGTGTACGAGGTGATATATGTATGTCCAGCCATAGAGCCAGGTGGGTGTATACGAGATGATATATGTATGTCCAGCCATAGAGCCAGGTGAGTGTGTATGAGGTGATATATGAATGTCCAGCCATAGAGCCAGGTGGGTGTGTATGCACGGTGATATATGTATGTCCAGCCATAGAGCCAGGTGGGTGTGTGCAGGTGATATATGTATGTCCAGCCATAGAGCCAGGTGAGTGTGTGTGTGATATATGTATGTCCAGCCATAGAGCCAGGTGGGTGTGTATGAGGTGATATATGTATGTCCAGCCATAGAGCCAGGTGGGTGTGTATGAGGTGATATATGAATGTCCAGCCATAGAGCCAGGTGAGTGTGTATGAGGTGATATATGTATGTCCAACCATAGAGCCAGGTGGGTGTGTACGAGGTGATATATGTATGTCCAGCCATAGAGCCAGGTGGGTGTATACGAGATGATATATGTATGTCCAGCCATAGAGCCAGGTGAGTGTGTATGAGGGTGATATATGTATGTCCAGCCATAGAGCCAGGTGAGTGTGTATGAGGTGATATATGTATGTCCAGCCATAGAGCCAGGTGGGTGTGTGTGACAGAGGTGATATATGTATGTCCAGCCATAGAGCCAGGTGAGTGTGTACGAGGTGATATATGTATGTCCAGCCATAGAGCCAGGTGGGTGTGTACGAGGTGATATATGTATGTCCAGCCATAGAGCCAGGTGTGTGTGTGTGATATATGTATGTCCAGCCATAGAGCCAGGTGGGTGTGTATGAGGTGATATATGTATGTCCAGCCATAGAGCCAGGTGAGTGTGTATGAGGTGATATATGTATGTCCAGCCATAGAGCCAGGTGAGTGTGTATGAGGTGATATATGTATGTCCAACCATAGAGCCAGGTGTGTGTGAACGAGGTGATATATGTATGTCCAGCCATAGAGCCAGGTGGGTGTATCACGAGATGATATATGTATGTCAGCCATAGAGCCAGCCAGGTGATGTATGTCCATGCATAGAGCCAGGTGGGTGTATGAGGTGATATATGTATGTCCAGCCATAGAGCCAGGTGGGTGTGTATGAGGTGATATATGTATGTCCAGCCATAGAGCCAGGTGGGTGTGTGCAGGGTGATATATGTATGTCCAGCCATAGAGCCAGGTGGTGTCCAGCCATAGAGCCAGGTGGGTGTGTATGAGGTGATATATGTATGTCCAGCCATAGAGCCAGGTGCCAGGTGAGTGTGTATGAGGTGTGTATGTCCAGCCATAAGAAGGTGGGTGTGTGCAGGGTGATATATGTATGTCCAGCCATAGAGCCAGGTGGGTGGTGGGTGTAATAAATGTCAGCCATAGAGCCACAGGGTGATATATGTATGTCCAGCCATAGAGCCAGGTGAGTGTGTGCAGGGTGATATATGTATGTCCAGCCATAGAGCCAGGTGGGTGTGTCTGAGGTGATATATGTATGTCCAGCCATAGAGCCAGGTGGGTGTGTGCGAGGGTGATATATGTATGTCCAGCCATAGAGCCAGGTGGGTGTGTGCGAGGTGATATATGTATGTCCAGCCATAGAGCCAGGTGGGTGTGTGCACAGGTGAGGTGATATATGTATGTCAGCCATAGAGCCAGGTGGGTGTGTGAGGTGATATATGTATGTCCAGCCATAGAGCCAGGTGGGTGTGTGCGAGGTGATATATGTATGTCCAGCCATAGAGCCAGGTGAGGTGTGTCTGAGGTGATATATGTATGTCCAGCCATAGAGCCAGGTGGGTGTGTAACGAGGGGTGATATATGTATGTCCAGCCATAGAGCCAGGTGGGTGTGTGCGGTGATATATGTATGTCAGCCATAGAGCCAGGTGGGTGTGTGCAGGTGATATATGTATGTCAGCCATAGAGCCAGGTGGGTGTGTGCGAGGGTGATATATGTATGTCCAGCCATAGAGCCAGGTGGGTGTAATGCGGTGATATATGTATGTCCAGCCATAGAGCCCAATTGATATATGTATGTCCAGCCATAGAGCCAGGTGGGTGTTGATATATGTATGTCCAGCCAATGCGAGGGTGATATATGTATGTCCAGCCATAGAGCCAGGTGGGGTTTACGAGGTGATATATGTATGTCCAGCCATAGAGCCAGGTGGGTGTGTGTGATATATGTATGTCCAGCCATAGAGCCAGGTGGGTGTGTACGAGGTGATATATGTATGTCCAGCCATAGAGCCAGGTGGGTGTGTACATGGTGATATATGTCTGTGGAGCCTATTCCTTCTGATCCATCAGTGTTTCTAGGTGTTACATTCTGATCCATCAATGTTTCTGGGTGTTACATTCTGATCCATTAATGTTTCTGGGTGTTACATTCTGATCCATCAATGTTTCTGGGTGTAACATTCTGATCCTTCAATGTTTCTGGATGTTACATTCTGATCCATCAATGTTTCTGGGTGTAACATTCTGATCCTTCAATGTTTCTGGATGTTACATTCTGATCCATCAATGTTTCTGGATGTTACATTCTGATCCATCAATGTTTCATTTTGTTTTCAGAGACGATTCAGGTGAAGATAGAGGAGGTGGATGCAGACAAAAGAATTACATGGACTTCAGATACATTCATGCCCGTTAAGGAAGATATTCGTTATAAGGTAGATTCAAGAGGCCATTACATCATTTAATCATGTGCGAGTGAGTGGGTGAGTGGGTGCGTGGGTGGGTGCAACATGGCAGGCAAAAAAGATTGACTTTCAAACATTTTCATCACTTATCTTGCTTGTGACAAGCAGGAGTGGACGTGTCACATTGCGACACTGAGACCTTGTAACTGACTGTCAGTTTGACATGTTAAAGTCTGCATCATGCATCATAAACAATAGGAAAGTGAGTTCCATGTCACATCAGCAGTATTTCAGCCAAATTGTGACGAAACAAGTTATAAATTCATAGTACATACAGTTAAATTATGAAAACCTGCAAACGAAGTATAATAAATAGTAAAGAATAATGACTGTTTGAAATACACAATGCCATTGACTGTTTGTACGACAAGAATTCTTTGTAACATGTGTTACATTTGTTCCTTTCTAACATTAACGGCATTGTGTATTCATAGCTTTCAGTTGTGGAAACTGTGCCTATTTATAATTATCAGAGGGGTACACAAAGTCTGTGGTCAAGACTACCAGTTGTTTGACTTCCATTTTGTGGAAGCTGCACTGGCAAAATGTGTTTTGGCAATCAGGTACAGGACTGTTATACATGACTCTGGAATAAATCCTTGTCAGGTTCTTTGTCAACATCAATGAAAAGACATGAGGTAATTGAAAAGAAAGGTGAGCTTCAGTACCTGTAGTACCCTTGTTCTTCCTTTTCTTTCAGCATGTGATTGCCTACCATGTGCCCAGATACAAAGACCGGCAGATACTGGAGCCAGTCCGTGTGAATGTGGTGATCCGCTGCGATCAGACGAATACTGACGACAAGAAGGAGATTCTCTACAAACCTCTTCCAGGTATATGGTTGATGGTGCTCTCGTCATCAGCAATATGAAGGATTTTACTTCAAACTCCGACTCTAGGGGTCCAGAGGATCCATGATTACAAATTTCAAGGGTCCTTCCTGAAATTAGGAAGTAATGAAATGGTCTCCTGTGAAGTAACGAAATGGTCTCCTGTGAAGTAACGAAATGGTCTCCTGTGAAGTAATGAAATGGTCTCCTGTGAAGTAACGAAATGGTCTCCTGCAAAGTAACGAAATGATTGGACTCCAGATCCAGAATTTGGCCCAGTGAAGTTTTTTCATCCCATTCTGTTTTTTTCTGCTTCTGTTTTATACATTATGTGTACAGGATGCATATATATATGCATCATGTAAAACCTTGAATATGCATCCCCGGTCATCCAGCATGCTATATCTATTATACCCTGGTCCCATCCTCGGTCATCCAGCATGCTATATCTATTATACCCTGGTCCCATCCCTGGTCACCCAGCATGCTATATCTATTATACCCTGGTCCCATCCTCTGTCATCCAGCATGCTATATCTATTATACCCTGGTCCCATCCTCTGTCATCCAGGTCATCCAGCATGCTATATCTATCCTCTGTCATATGCTATATCTATTATGGTCCCATCCTCGGTCATCCAGCATGCTATATCTATTATATGGTCCTATCCTATATCCCCTGGTCCATCCTCGGTCATCCAGCATGCTATATCTATTATACCCTGGTCCCATCCTCGGTCATCCAGCATGCTATATCCCTGGTGCATATCCTCTGTCATCCAGCATGCTATCATCCCATCCTGCATGTATATCTATTATACCCTGGTCCCAGCATGCTATATCTATTATACCCTGGTCCAGCATGCCTATTATACCATCCTGGTCATCATCAGCATGCTATATCTATTATACCCTGGTCCCATCCTCGGTCATCCAGCATGCTATATCTATTATACCCTGGTCCCATCCTCTGTCATCCAGCATGCTATATCTATTATACCCTGGTCCCATCCTCGGTCATCCAGCATGCTATATCTATTATACCCTGGTCCCATCCTCGGTCATCCAGCATGCTATATCTATTATACCCTGGTCCCATCCTCTGTCATCCAGCATGCTATATCTATTATACCCTGGTCCCATCCCATCCTCTGTCATCCAGCATGCTATATCTATTATACCCTGGTCCCATCCTCGGTCATCCAGCATGCTATATCATATTATACCCCTGGTCCCATCCTATTATACCCGGTCATCCAGCATGCTATATCTATTATACCCTGGTCCCATCCTCGGTCATCCAGCATCAGCATGCTATATCTATTATATATCTATTATATCCTCTGTCTCCAGGTCCCATCCCTCGGTCATCCAGCATGCTATATCTATTATACCCTCATCTGTCCATGCATATATCTATTATACCTCTGTCATCCAGCATGCTATATCTATTATATCCCACTCTGTCATCCAGCATGCTATATCTATTATACCCTGGTCCCATCCTCGGTCATCCAGCATGCTATATCTATTATACCCCCTGGTCATCCAGCATGCTATATCCCTGGTCATCCTCTGTCATCCAGCATGCTATATCTATTATACCCTGGTCCCATCCTCTGTCATCTGCATGCTATATCTATTATCCCATCCCATCGGTCATCCAGCATGCTATATCTATTATACCCTGGTCCCATCCTCGGTCATCCAGCATGCTATATCTATTATACCCTGGTCCCATCCTCGGTCATCCAGCATGCTATATCTATTATACCCTGGTCCCATCCAGTCATCCAGCATGCTATATCTATTATACCCTGGTCATCCAGCATGCTATATCTATTATACCCTGGTCCCATCCTCGGTCATCCATGCTATATCTATTATATGTCCCATCCTCGGTCATATGCTATATCTATTACCCTGGTCCCCTCGGTCATCATGCTATATCTATTATACCCTGGTGATGCTATATCTATTATACCCTGGTCCCATCCTCGGTCATCCAGCATGCTATATCTATTATACCCTGGTCCCATCCTCGGTCATCCAGCATGCTATATCTATTATACCCTGGTCCCATCCTCGGTCATCCAGCATGCTATATCTATTTGGTCATACCCTGGTCCCATCCTCGGGGACCAAATTGAAGACTTCGCTCTCAAGTTTGGAACTCGAGAAAAAGCGTCTACAGCAGCGTCCACCATTTTGGTTTGTTTATCCTTACAATGAGTACCGGTACCAATCTATTTTTTTTATTCATATCGTTTAAAAGTCACGCAAATGCAATGATATGACCAATAAACATTCTGAAACTATTAATGTATAATAATATAAAGGAAATACAAATGTTACTAGTAGTTTTGACTACATCACGAAAATTACCGATCGTATTGGGTGAACCGGTTTGTGAAAAGTGTACCGCAATATATCGTATTGTGAAGTTCGAATTGCAATATACCGGTTAACCGGTGTTATTGCCTACCCCTAGTTACAAAACAGGATTCTGGGATATAACTGTGTGGTGGTTGTAAAAAGGGACTGGGCCCTGTTTCACAAAGCTCTTGTAGGCCTAAGATCTTGTAACCTTTCTCGTAGCATTTGTACTTCCTATGTTACAGTATATGACAGAGGCCCAGTTAAGCTGCATATCCGGGTAAAATACGCATAGAAAATTTCCAATTACGCATTGAAAAAATAATTGTTGCCTACCAATTACGCATTTAAAATTATAGATACGCAAAAAGTTTAAAACAAATGCGTACAGAATATATTTATAAAAATCGCTTGCGTAATGAAAAAGACATCTATTGCTATCAAGTTGTACTGTTAGTATAGGACAAGTGTTGTACTGTCAGTATAGGATGAGTGATTTTTTATGAAATCATTTCCATTATATTAAAGTTGGTTTTGATTAGGTATGACATAAGGCAGAACATACCTGCTTAGTAAACTTACTCAATGACATATACTTAGGTGAGTAAAATGACTGAAATACGCACATATTTGAAAGCAGTGGGTAACGGAAAATGAAATACTCACTCAACATTCATAATACCCACTCCTAAAAAATACAGTGGGTACAGTACCCACATGAGCTAAATCTTATGTGGAGCTCTGATATGAGGTACGAATGCTATGAGAAAGGTTACGAGATCTTAGGGTTATGAGAGCTTTGTGAAACAGGGCCCTGGATGGTCATCTTCATTTCATGCTCAGAATATCAATCACTGGATTGGCAGAAAGGATTATTGACAAGCCTGTTGTAGAGGCCAAATGATCAGTAAATATTTTATGAGTGCATTATGCGATTTCTCAGCAACCAAGGGAGGTCACTCTGATTCAGTTGTGTAGAATGTAGTGTCACATGCATGGAAAGATAGGATTGGAATAATGCTGAATGTTAAAAACAAACACAAAATAATGCATTGCTAATTATCATTATCACTAAGGATACTATGAGTAACCCTCAAATTCAGAGACTGAGAGAGGTGGGTGGTGGAGGTGCCTAGTGGATACAGAATCATACCGAAGACCCAGGTTCGATTCCCCACTTGGGCACAATGTGGGAAACCCATATCAGGTGTCCCCCGTCCTGGTATTGCTGGAATATTGCTAAAAGCAATGTAAACCTAAACTCACTCACTCACTCAAACAGGCATTGTCATCTACACCAGTGGATTATGTTGAACAATATTTCCAACATTATGTCATATTATTGTCACTGATGTTTATCCAAAATGTTTATATTTTGACAGATATTGTGGCCTTGAACAGGGGAAAGAGAAAACCTAGTGTGGCAGAGAAATATGGACACAAAGGTAAGAGCTGTTCTTTTTAATTAGTTTTGAAAAGACAGTAGCCAAGCAGTGTAATTCCATCATCCAGACTGGCGACCATGGTGAGGTAGGTGTATGTATGAACGCCAGGAACGTGATTAACAGGTTCTACTTTTGTACCCATGTGCAGACGTGAACCACATCATCAGATGATGTGAGGGTCACGCTGACCCCACAGATGTTGGAGTCTCTGAATGTCAAGCGAGCTTTTTGTCATGAACATTCCCAGAACTTCTCAGAACTTCTCAGAACTCAGTGATGCCCATGCCCATACTCCTAGAGCTCAAAGTCTGATTTTCAATATGGCCTCCACAGAAAACTATTTATGGCCTCTTCTCCTCTTTTCCTGCTCAAACTGAACTGCTCGTAGTTTGCTTTATGATTTCATATTTTGGTCATATGTGCCAGATTTCACGGACCTTTGACGCACTACTGGAAAATATCAATGTCATGTAATTACTCTCTCTGAAGATTTACGAGTTGAAACTTTGTCTAATGGACATTTTAACACGCTGATCTGAACCAATGGATAGTTACCAGTAGTCACTTGTTTCATATTTGTTAATTTGTGTCAGTATCTAAAATGTGCGTTTGCTGCCTCTGTTGACTACATCCACAGGTGAGTTCCAGTATATACAATAATCATCTTCTGCATTTCAGTGTTGAAGGTAACAGATCAGCGATCGTCAAGGAAGAGTTACGCAACAAGATTAAGTCTGGTATGTGATCGCGTGATTATGTTCAGATACAGGTAACGCTTACAAATATTGAACTTGCTTGGTTCAAACTTCTGTGCTTCTGCAACAGCTACTACCGTACTGTCTTACAGCTGCCTTCATGTCGGCCATGTTTTACTTTAGTCATGGTCATCTTTACTGCAAAGTCTTTCAAAGTCTATTGCTGTAACAGGGACTGTGAAATACAAAAATAATCATAAAAGGAACTTAAACAGGAAGGAGCTGAAATTTAGAGATCCCATTAACGGTGGCGTTAGAAGTTGAGAGGGTCCATTGATGTTTTCACAATAATTTATTCATGGAAGTGTTCAATAGTCGTAATTCAAGGATCCCTGAAAAGCAACAGAATGTTCTCATATCTTTTAATTTTACCGTACAAAGAATTGATTGACCCAATTACCAGTAAAAGATGTCTTATTTGGATTATTGTCCAGCAGGTGGAGCTGCTGACCTTCATTGCCAACCCAGAACAGCCCTTCCTCCGTCCACAACAAATGTTCCTTCTGTGAACCATTCTTTCTTTGAGAACCATGGGAATGACCCCCTCACAGATGACAACGGACTTGGCTCTAGCAATGACTTTCTCAGTGATGACCTCGCAGCCTTCACACCTCAACAAGCACCTGTTAGTCAGAAGGTGGCTAGGTTATACCAGGCTCCTCAGCTAATGGAGACTGACCACATCCCAGCACCAGACGTTCAACCTCTTATGCGTATTTCACTATCCAAAGACCCAGGTGGTAGCTCAAGACAGTTTGTTTTTATTGGTGATGGGACTTCATCCAGTTCCACTGACACGGAGAATCATAACTTGCCACAGTCAGTGGTAGAGTTAGCGTCTTCTCAACATTCAGTTCCAGACGATGGATTATCAACACTATCAACAAATTCTGCAGCATGTGATACGCTGACAATGATGGAGAGATATATGCAGAATCAACAGCATAATCAGGCAGGTGATTCCAACAGTGTCAAGATGGAGGACATGCTCTCTACAGGAGCAACAACAGATGGTTTCCATGTGCAGATGTCAGAACAGAACGGGGTGGAGCTCTCAGATGGAAATCCAGATTTCCAAATGTTGACGTCAGGAGGACAAGATCCAGTGGAGTCCTCGCCCAGAAATCCAGATTTCCAAATACATGCCCTTGAACCAAATAATCTGACATCTTCTCCAGAAAATTATGGCTTCACACAGCCAGGACAGGGTGGCATGGAATCCTCACAAGGAATTTCAGGTTTACAAATACAAAATACTCTGTCAAAGTCAAGTGGAAATCCAGAACAGAATGGTGGGCTTGAGGCTCCCCCAATAGCAAGCCAACTGCCTTCTTTGCCTGTTAATGAGATATTTTCATTGGACACTGCTAATTTGGAAAATATTTTCTTTGAAGGGAATGTCTTCCAGGAATTCTTTCAGGGTGAGCCAAACCAGAGTAGTTCTGACAAAGATGACCCCATCTGACTGTGGCAGGGTGAACAGAGGTATTAAAGAGGTCAAGAGAATCCTTCAGCATGACCTTATTAGGTCACATCCAGTTAATCCAGGAGCCCAAGCTCACTGACAGTTATGGTCAGGAATGTCTGCTGTTACTGTATATATATACATTGGTTCATCTGGACTTTGTTTATGCTGACAGGTTGGCAATGTTTGTCTGTCTACAGTGGTGACTTGACATTGGTTATAAACTAAGGGGGCATTCATATTTGACCCCCCTACCTCCCCAGAACAAAATGGGTGGACTTCCCCACACACACACACCCTCCCTAAAATCATCATGACCCCCCATAGCCATATATTATGAATGGTCCCTCATTAACAATCTTGTAGAAGGAATGTTGCTTTTGAGGAATTGCTTGTTGTAATTGTCCTCATTTCATGATATTGTTTGAATGATGTTTACCAGGAGCTGATCTAGACCTGTTTGTAAATGTCAGCAGCTTCGTGACCTCAGCAATAGAAATCATCATCCACAGCAAAAAACAAAAAACACTGAGAACATTTATGTAACGTGGTTGACAGCTGAGCATGACTTGAGTGAGGGATACCCAAAGGCTTTCAGCAGTGAACTCGGCAACGGAACTTATCACTTGTTTGTTATACTTTGATAGAGAGCACCCAACCTGTGACTGTGTCCTACAGTGCCAAAATAGGGCACAGTTGCTACATATTTGTCTAAAATGGACTAAAATAAACTTTATAAACTGGTTTGATGGTCACTTGAGGACTAAAAGCATGTCAAATAGGATATATCGAAAATCGTGTGGTGTAATTTTGTGTTTCAATCAGTAAACAGACGTAGGCTTAGATGGTTGTTGTGAATTATGTTTTACGACTTCCACTGCTTGACAGTCAGGCCATTCCATGTGTGTTAGCATAATATATGAATATCTCAGATCTTGCTCAGAAATGTGAGTAGATTCAGTTTTACAAAATTCCCACAAGAAAGTGATTTTTATGATTCACATATTCATGAATGAAAAGGAATACGGTGTGAAGTCATCTTTTATGCTTACAATACGTTATTGTTTTGTTATTTGTTTTTGTTTTGTGGGTTTGCCAGTTATGACAGCCGCAGCCCCTGTTTGTTAACATTGTGTATCTCAACATGAATGCTGATATATTGCTCTGTGTGACTGACCATATTACACAAGTGGATGTGGATCTATTTCTTCTTGATAAAGTCAGTTGTTTCTAACTTTAAGCAACAGTTTTTTTCTGTTGTTTGATATTTGTACTAAGTTCACAAACTGATGATGGTATAGGGGAGATAACTCTGACTGGGTCTTAGTATTCTGGTCTGAAAAATACTAGTAGTTAAAAGTGAGAAGAAATCACAATTAGGGATGGATGAGGTCATACGAGAACAGACAGACAACAAAATACAATACCTGTCGAGGAATGGAATAGGAAAAAGGAAATGTAATTTCGGAGGGCCCTGTACAAACTGTATGTGTCTTTTCTTGTTGAAACAATGGATGAAATGGTCAAGAATTTGGGAATGGTTGTACAAAATATTATGGTCAGAACCATATTTTATTTTTAGTCCATCCTATAACAGTATATTATAATTAACTGTTCCCTTTAGTGTTTTTAATTGGTTTTTATAAATATGTTTGGGTTACGATTTCGCTGGCTGCAGGAAATAAATGTCAGTTGAATTAAGTATATCTCAAATTATTTTAATTGCACTCTCCATGACAGTATGTTTAAATGTTTGTACACGATCTCGGCCATCATTGCACTGAATGATATTTGTTCAGTTTTATGTATCTAACCATATATTTACACTAAACAAATATAGTTTGCGAGAGCATTTCTTTCTTCTCTGTTTCTTATTTCAACCACAGACATCATGTTTTGAGAGAGAAATTCTGTAAACCAACAACTTGTGATAAAATAAAGAAAGGTTGATGTATATCTTTGTGTTTAATCATTGAATTAGATGGTGCAAGAACATGGTAACATGGTGCAAATGTTAATACCCTGTTATGACCCTTTTAAGCTGTTTAAGATTTGTTCCTGTTGTGTGTGTAATACAGTAGTGTGATTGTCTTCAGCTGCCAGGATATGTTTAATATTTCAACACAGTAGTTGTTTGCCTGTACACTGTTTTAGTGAAGAGATAACTGCAGGTGAAGTGTTTCATTATAGGAGTAACGCTCTAGGGAGATGTTATGGTGTGATCATCTTGAATTGTAAATAATGTACATGTGTATTTACTTCCTTTCATGTTGTTTATCTTTTTATTTATATCAAACCAGATTGTTTTATGTGGCAATATTGAAGTTGTTATTGAAATGAACCTTTGAAAACAGTCCTTAACACAATTTAGTTCTGTTAAACTTTCAGACCTGTGAAGAACCGGGTTAGAATTGGTCTGAAGTCATGCTGGTCATAAAAGGTCACTAATGGGATTGGGAGGTCAGGCTGACTTGGTTGACACATGTCATTGTATCCCAATTGTGTAGATCGATGTTCATGCTGTTGATCACTGGATTGTCTGGTCCAGAGTTCAACAACACCCCAAAATATTCACAAGTAGATACAAGAAGAAGGAAATCTGAGTAATTTGGGGTCTTTTTTCAGCTTTTTTGAAACTTTCAAGTAATGTCACTGAAGGCACCACGAGGAAGCCCTTGTCTTTGTTCGAATGAGCTAACCAAGTGGCTAACCAATACCCCATGTTGTGTTAAGGAGCAAAGATGAACACATTTCCTTTTTTTCATATGTCTTGGCTTCATGAGACTTCGTAGCCTTCTTTTGAAATATGTCGGGTAATTGTTTTTAGTTATTTTCAACAACCTGTTTGGTTTGAAGGAAGGTAGCTGTAAACGAGGTAGTAATAATGGATGATATAGTGTTGTTTTCAGCCAGCGTGTGTTTGATGTTGTTTGCTAAACGAGAATGAGATTGTAGAGCTCGTCGCTCGAGTTTATTGGGGCTGTGGAGATAGACTAATAGTTAAAGTGTTTGTACATGACTCAGGTTTATTCCCTGGTTCTGGCGCCGGGAACCCAGCTCATCAATTTATTACACTGTAAAAAGTCATTTTCTGACCATAACTAAAATATATTTGTCCAAAGATCATTTGTTAAAAAGGGATTTTTATAAAAATGTTTTTTTCTCATATTCATGGAAACCATTGTGAAATGATCATGCTGATGATTTAATTTGTTTCTGAAGCAGAAACAAACATTTGCTCTTCTTATAAAAAATATGAAAATGTGCATTTTGCATTTCGGAGTTGGGAAGATACTATCTTCTGACAACTTTTCTTCTTCTAACAGGTCGAAGTCATAAACCCAAAAGCATAAAAGGGACTCAAAAATGTCTAGTTTTTCACCCAGAGAGTTCTACTTTGTGCAGGTGCGACACTGATGAACTCCAGTGTACTATTCTAGTGGTAACCAGTGGCTGACTCAGTGGAGACTGCAAACAAGTGGTCAGAATGTGTACCTTTTTTGTTTTTAATGAAATGTGATGAACAAATATGAATACGGTCTATATTGACTGTTTTTAATATGTATATGGTATTTATTGTGTATTTTCTTTTTATCAAATGCTCAAGTTTTTTAGTAAAATGATGATGTTAGCGTGCTGAGAAGGAATTTCTCCTAAATTATCTACTTTCCTAATGACTTCCATTACTGAATCTGTTTGTAATTTACATCTGTATTAAGAGAAAACAAACACTCTTTATCAAAATTTACTGTCACATATGGTGACTCCAACACTGAAATTAGTTTCAAAACTCAAAAGCTGACAAAATTTGATTTTTTTGTGAAGATGATTGGTACAAATTTGATATATGATACTTGATTGGTCGCTCCAAGTACCTGTAAGGAAAGACCCATGGAGATCCAGGTTAGGATTGGTCTTCAGTAACCCATGCTTGAAGTAACAGGCACCTAATTGGATCCCAGTTGCGTACATTGATACTCATGCTGGACTGTCTGAGTGCTGGATTGTCTGAGTGCAGGGTAAAACACATCCTCGATAATCTCCAGGGTATACCTTACGATCACTCTCCACTATACCCTGGATGCATCCACGGCTTGGGGGCGATGAATTTATTACCTCCCTTGGCTTGCTCCGCATGCTCACAGTAGCCAATCATCTAAGCCGCCGTTACAACCGAGCTTGCTCGTGTCAACAAAGATAGCGGGCGCAGTTGCGAGGGTTTGTTCGCAGTGCTACTCAATTTTTTTTAGAAATAATAAAGACAAATTCACAAATCTGAAACTTTAAAAAGAATATATGAAAGAACTCCTTCTACTACTTTCAGAGTACCTTTGCATCAATTGTGTTGCCAAGTTTAAACGGTTAGATAATTTAAGACGCGAAAGTGAGTAGTGATTGGTACGCTCAACTTTCCAGCGTAGGCACCTGACTGGATAAAAAGCCAGCCAAGGGAGGTAATAAAATCATCGCCCCCAAGCCGTGGATGCATCCAGGGTATAGTGGAGAGTGATCGTAACGTATACCCTGGAGATTATCGAGGATAGGTAAAACAATAAACAAAACCAACCTGTAATTAGAAACAATGTCACAGTAAACATGTAAAGTGACTAAGGCATGCAAGATGGCGAATGATTTTACGAATGTTTCATTTGATCCATGCACTTTGTACAGCCAATGTCAGGGATGGTAAATTTGTTGTTCATGACTGGATTTACCTCTTCATTCCAGCCGAGATTAATCATCATAATCAAACCAACCACTGTTTGCTGTGGTGACATTGATGTCATGTGGATTGATACTCAAGATGTCAATCACAGGATTGTCTGGTCAATACTTATTTGTAACAGATGCTGGTTATGTAGCAATAGAAATATTGCTGAATAGGACATTAAATGACTGTCAACCATGGTTATCCATGAAGGGGCTTTTGCACTCGGGCTTACAGAATTTAAGTCTGCAGTATCAACCCGTGAAGGTCCCGGTTAGAAGTGCTTGTGGTAAGAGGCGACTAATGGGATCGAGAGTCAGGCTCGCTGACGTGGTTGACACATGTCATCGGTTTCTCATTGTGCAGATCAATTCATGATACTTAATTACAGACTGCCACCATATAGCTGGAGTATTGCTGAGTGCGGTGTAAAACTAACCAAACTCACTCACTCTGTAGCATCAATACAGCCTTGAAGGATGGGCTCTGTCTCATTGTAGCGGAATATGTCTCCAGTTTAACTGCCTCTGATCCCTTTGGGGGCGGTGGGGTAGCCTAGTGGTTAAAGCGTTGATTCGTCACGCCGAAGACCCGGGTTCGATTCCCCACATGGGCACAATTTGTTAAGCCCATTTCTGGTGTCCCCCGCCGTGATATTGCTGGAATATTGCTAAAAGCGGCGTAAAACTAAACTCAGTCAGTCAGTCTGATCCCTCTGTTTGGCTAACTTAACGGTGATGATAGTTTTAGTATGTTACTTTTATACATTTTTTATTTATGTGTATCTTGACCAATTAAAATGAAATTATCCTCTTTGCTGAACTTTTGATTGTTTTGTTGAATAATAATGATAATGATTTTACATGTGCTTTCCGGCATGATATCATTGTATATTTACGAATGACATACAATCATTTGTTTGAAAGAGTATTCACAGAATGGCAAACTAGTGTATTTTTAAAAGTTGAGTATAATTTCATGATTGGCTATATATACATACTCCCTGAAAAATCCCCTTTATGGGTGGACCGTGCCATGGAGAGTATGGAGCTGTTGGTCTCGAAATAACAACTATTACATCAGGCTATGGTAGCCATATGTCTACCCTATTATTAGGGGATCTCAGTGCGAGAGCTGATTGTAGATGATCAAGACTTTAAGTAGCTACCCCTAACAGATGATCAACACAAGACCTTGTTGTAAAGAAGTATGGTTCTATTCAATTATTTCTTCTCATAAACCACCTTGGTGGTACAAGAGCATTTATTATATAGGTAGTATTTCTCCTGTACCACGATTGGTCAAAAGACCGTCACATGATTGACTACAAAACACGATATTGACTTGAGTTTTCTGATAAATTACGATATTGACTTGGGTTACTAAAAATAGACAAGGAATCCCGTACGAAGGGGCTTCCCCACTTTTCAGCCAATCAGATCACTCGGATAGATGGCACAGTGTGTGCATTAAAAGTTTATGTTAAAACCCGTGTCTCTTTCATTATATAATAAAACAATTATAGACTCTTGTAGAGGTCGATATCGGTTTTTATTGACCTGAGAAAAACAATATCGACCTCGCAAGCTCGGTCGATATTGTTTTACTCAGGTCAATATAAACCGATATCGACCTCTACAAGAGTCTATAATTGTATAATATTGTAAACATATATACAAATACAAATTCAAATTCAAGATGGCAGTAAACAACATCTTAAAAAAATTTTCTGACAAGAGATGATAGATGTAGGATATATTTTTATAGATTTACTATGTCTCGAGATGTTTTTACAGATAATATTTTCGTGAACTTTGTTTCATTGGGAAAAGAGGTTAGGTGGGAGGATAAAAATTCTTTCCTCAAAGTATCTAATGCTTTGCAATGTAAAATATAGTGGTATTCATCTGCGTAGCTTTTAGAAGTGCATAGTTGACACATTCTCTCGTCCCTTGGAATATTATACCAGCGGCCCGTCTCAATAGGTAAACTATGGTTACATGTTCTAAATCTCAATAATGGTAAAGAAATGCTCCAGATAAATTTTCAACATCAGGAGTATGTACTCCTTACTGTTTCAATACAGGAGTACTGGAAAACAATACGAGTACTGTACATTTAGAGTACTGCATGGAATTTAATGGAGTATCAGTAATCTTGTGTTTCGTTTCATATATGCACCACAAGATTGCTACTCTTGTGTAAACAGGTCAATAAACAATAAAACAATACTTTTTCAGATAAAT